AAGCCCGACCATTCAACAACATTATCCCAAATTCTTATTCAGATTATAGATAAATATCACAGAGAATTTACTAAGTCATTTCATTCAAGTGTATAATTAATAATAAAATCTGCGGAAGTTCAATTAAAATACCACACCATAGCCCAACAGAATCCGGTGTCACGAATATGAGCCTCTAATACAGAATATCCACCTATTACAAGTCTGTCTAGGAAAAATACGGAATAAAAGATAGAGATAGAGGGGAGAGATCAAGGCTGCGAACGCCATGCAGCTACCTCAATACTCCCGGATACTGCCTGCTCAGCTAAACAATTCCTCACTTAGCCTGTGGTGTACCTGGATCTGCACGCAAGGTGCATGGAGTAATGTGAGTACTCCGACCCAGTGAGTAATAAACATAAATAAAGGATAAGAATAAGAAATCATGGAAAAATACAAAGTAAACTATAACTGGCAGTTTAGAACAACAAATAGTGAAGCAACAAGTCAATTAAGTTAAAGTACCAAATACCGAGACAGGTATAACAGATAAAAATAAATGGATGAGTGCAATGCAATGCATATGATGGTACACTCTAGTACCCACTGCGGCGTGCATCCCGAGCCATCCATTTATTTATCATCGATGGCGCTCACTGGGGGTGTGTGCAGACTCCGGAGGGGCTCCTACAGCCCAAGCGCAATATCAAGCCATCTCGTGGCATCAAATCTAGGCCTTCGGCCTCATATCAATCTCAGTATAATCAACCAGGCTCTCGGCCTTAATATCAATGTAATACTAGTGCGGCGTGCAACCCGATCCATGCTCAGTCCAGAAACCATGATAAGCCCCTTGGGCATTTGTAAAACAGTAGTTCTCAGACCGAAATATCATTTAGAAATATCATTTAAGTTTTTAAATCTTAGAAAGATGGCTGAGTTTGCAAAACAGTATTTAAAACCTTGGACTGAGGTCAAATGATATGCAAAATATGCGAAAGTAGTGATATCAATCCCTGAAGGATTCAAATAATCGGCAAGAAGCCCAAATGTAGCAATTAAATCTAAGTAAGGATGATTCTCAATTTAGTTCAAGTAGAAAACATGGTACAAACATCTCTCGGGACGGACCAAGTCACAATTCCCAATGGTTCTCTACCCCACGCCCGTGATCTAGCATGCAAGTCACCTCAATATAGCGTTACGATGTGAAATTCTGGGGTTTCAAACCCTCATGACATCATTTACATCAACTACTAACCTCACGATGGTCAAAGTCTCTCGATATGCCCTTGCCTCTCAAATTACCCTCGTCGTGCGACAAATCTGCTCAAAATCACAACGAATATGTCTCATTATGCTAAAGAGACAATACCCAATCGAAAGCAATCGAAAAATATCAAAATTCACGAATTTGACAAAACCTGAGCCCCGGGCCCATGTCTCGAAAACTCAGAAAATTACCATCACCGGATTCCTTGTCTTGCCACGAGTCTATACATACCAAAAACTCCCAAATCCGAGTTCAAATGACCCATCAAATCCTAATTGTTTGGTTTCAAAATTCAAGCCCTAGTTCTTGATTTGTAGGCTTATATTTCATGAATATCTAGGTGGAATTCGCAATAAAAACGAGTTCTAAGTCCAAGAAACTTACCTCAAGTCGTTCCCCCTTGAATCCCTCTTTAATCTCCACCAAGAAGCTCTCAAAATGATCAACCATGGAGGAAAAATGACCCAAAATCGCGGATGAAGTGTTTTGTAAACTCAATGCCTAGAATTTTTCGGAAGAACTGTTCACACGTGTGGTCACTGTTCACCCGCGCAGTTACTGTTAACGCGCGGGGGTTACTGTTCACGCTGCTAAAAAAAATACAGCAGCAGGCAAAGAAATTGCAGCACTTTTCTTTTCACTAAAATGGCTCTAACTCCATCATATGAACTCGGAATTCGATGATTCTTGTTTGTATGAGTCAAAAATAATAGTACGAACATAGACCTTCAATAAGAACTCAATTCGGAGCTCTTTTACTCAGTTCAATACCCATTTTTCTCGTTAAACAATTAACTCATATTTCGTGTCAAAAACCCAATCGCGACTTGATGAAATTAGACCAAACTTTCTAGATCACTCCTATAATTCATTATTTAAATTCTGGAAATCTCGAAATAAAATTTCGATCTCTAGAACTAAAAATGGACCTTTGGATCATTACATGCTTATGCTCAAACGGCAAAAATCTTCCAAAAACTCTTCCAAAACTTATTTGAGCCTCATGGGACCCAGACCAAACATGCCAACATAATTCATAACATTATTCAAACCTCTTCCAATCATCAAAATACCTCAAACAACATTAAATTACCCAAAACTCATCGAATTCAAGCCTAATTTCTTAAAAACTTCCGAAATACGCATTGGATCAAAAACCCGACCAAAACACCTCCGAATGATCTGAAATTTTGCACACACATCCAAAATAACCTAACGAAGCTACTGCAACTCTCGGAATTCCATTCCGACCCTCGTATCAAAATCTCACCTGCCAACCGGAATTCGCCAAAATACTAACTTCGCCAATTCAAGCCTAATTCTACTCCGGACCTCCAAAATAAATTCCGATCACACTCCTATGCCACATATCATCCCCCGAAGCTAACCGAATCACCGGAAATCACATTCGAGCCCTCTAACTTAATAGTCAACATCCGGTTGACTTTTTCCAAAACAAGCCTTTCTTAAAGAGACTAAGTGTCTCATTTCATATCAAAGCCAATCCGATTTAACTCTAACACCGAATACCGATAGCGAAATATGAAGAAGCATAAAAATGGGGGAAACAAGGTGGTAACTCATGAGACGACGGGTCGGGTCGTCACAGACCATGAGTTTCCTCTAAACTTGGACACCTGAGGGCTGTCCCTTCTACACTGCACTATGTCCTAATCTGGTGATATATTTGGGTGTAAGCTCTGTACGGAGTTCTTATAAAATTCTTAGGGATCTCTGAAACATCCAAATAGGAGAAAGGCTTTGAAATATGATCCCTTGGAGTTGGGTTTACTTCATATTTCAGACAGGAAGTCTGAATCAGGCTCTCCTTGGTTGTACCTTTTAATTTCTAATGTATTTTATTTTTCTGGGCTGTAATAATTTTGTAATAAACACTTGGGGATGGCTAGTTAAAAGGGAGAGATAACTATGTGAAGGGTAGATATCTTGTCTATAGGTTATTTCTGAATTTTTGCACTCTCATATAGATATCTTGCCTATAGGTTATTTCTGAATTTTTGTACTCTCATATAGATATCCTGCCTATAGGTTACTTCTTGAATTCTGCATTTCTCATATAGATACCATGTCTATAATTACCTGGAAATCTGAATCCTACATATGCATATAGAAGATATTCCTATAGGTCTTTCTGAATCTTGCATATGCATTCTTCATTAGGCAATCATGTTTATAGGGTTTCCGCATTTTACCATGTCTGTTAAAAAGGGTTGAAAATCAGCAACGCGTAGAAAGCATGCCTATAGGAGCTATTAATCAAGTCTGAATCGCTTCACTCATTTATAAGTCTAAAACCAGTAACAGTGACGCATGCTCTTTTGCTAAAACTCGCCTTTCTTTAATAATAGACAATTTTTATTAAATCAGTATGTATTCATGTTTACTTCATTATTTTTGGAACCAGTAGATATCTTGCCTATAGGTCTTCGTCCAGCAATTAGGCAAGCCATAGGGTGAAAGTTTATAAACTGAATCAGATTTTATATGCTACAACCAGCAGGCAGGCCTGATTCGGGCTTCTTATCTGAACTATGTATTAAATCAGTCTGCCTCGACCCTTTAAGTTTTAATCAGACCTTAAATAGTACATGCAAGTCATGCTACATTATGTGTTTTCTTTGGTTTAAAAGAGGTATGTTTGAGCCCTTTTATTTGTTTATATGCTTCCCCAAACTTGTTATATGTGTTTTGTTTGTCGCCTTAGTATTTTACCTTTTGAAACCACAAATTAGTCCAATACCTCCTCCCTCTAAGATTAGTAGTCCCAAGTGCCTCCGGGGCTGATAAGATTGAGGCGCGTAATAGCATGCAATAAGTAAACGAGACCATTCCGTGCTTTAATATCTTAATGGGGTGGAAAAGGGTAGATATGGATATGATGACCACACAATAACATCACGTGTAGCCCCTCACTGAGGAGTGATTACCGGATGTTGTGTGGGGTGATCCATATTATTAATAAACCTAGGACC